CACAACACAAACCACCACAGCATGACAGACTGAAAGATCAGTGGTAGGGATTATCTGGGTGGCCCCTAAATGTAACCACAAGTACCTCTGTCAAAGGGAGGCAGAGAGACACTTGATTCTAGTAGAGAAGAAGGTGATATGACCATGGAAGCAGAGATTAGAGTGATGTGGCCAGGAGCCAAAGAATGCTGACAGCCTCTAGAAGTAGACGAGGCAAGAAAGAAACATATTCTACCTTGGAGCCTCCAGTGGAACTAGCCCTGCCAATATCTTGATTTTAACCCCCAGTCATTTTGGACCTCTGGTTCCTAAAACTGTCAGGTAATAAACTGATGTTGTTTTAGGTCACTAAATTTGTGGCTTAATCCACTAGATTTGTGGAGCCCTGGGTAAGCACTGCACCGCAAGGTCGGTCTGACCTTCAAAGTCATCAGTTCACACTAATCAGCCGCTCCTTGGAAATCATATATGAGGTGGCTATGAGCTGGAACCAACTCAATAGCACTTTAACAACAAAAACAAGTTTGTGACAACTTGTTTCAACAGCTAAAGGAAACTAAAACATTTCCCAATCACTCTATGGTAAAGAGTTATTTTTTTTGCCTTTTCTAAAGTCTTAAAATAAAGATGGGAATATTTGTATCTGCATTTTGATGATATAGATAAAGCCTCTGAAAATAGGACAAAAGTGGTTAAAATATCAGAAGCAGTATACACACAACTGTCACCATTATTAAAACATGTTTACTTTTAAAAATGAATAAAGGATAGCAATATGATTATTTATATTTCAAGATCTTTATCCCTTGGGTACTAAGACAGGATACAGGCAATGAGGATTGGTCACTTCTGGTCAGCTGGGAGTAGTTCCATCCTATACTTCAGTGTGTCACACAAATAATAACATTTTTGTATGACTGGGAAGCACTGATTTAAGTAAGGTATTCCCCACTTATTTAACTATGATAATTTTGGGGCTATAAATAAATATTGGGTAAAGATAAAGCATTTCTCAAACATAATATATTAATTATAGTTAATATGTAACTATACAAAATTTTAAGCCTCTTAAAATATTTAGATTTGTATAAAATAAGGTATACTTACCCTAAACTGCCCATATAATGATATCATGGAAAAGAAAAGAACAACAGCCAAAGGACCCCAAAAGTCAGGATTGTCTCTCACCACTTGTCTATTAAAACCAAGTGACGGCATTGGCATCAGAACACATCTGATTTTGTAGTAAATATCCTTTAGATCGATATCCAATTCCTCCCTATAACATTAAAATAAAAATTCTCAAAAGGTACTACAGAATATTGAGTTGCAGAATATAAGAAAAATATCACAGTATATCCAGTTTCCCTAGGATAATAAAACATTTCCATTTGAAGTACCATATTTTACATTTTTTCAACATTTCACTATCTTTAAAGTTGGTGTTCATGACATAATAGTTACTGTCTTACAATTGTTGTCTAGAGCGGATCCAAGTGCTTTTCCATTTGCCAGTTTCCTAGAGACGCTACCAATTTGGAACAAATTTAAATAAAATTCTCTGCTTCCGATTTTTTTTGGACCACACTGAAAATTCAAAGGAGAACCAGTATGGGGATTACACTGTCAGGGAAAATTTTTATCTTTCAACACGTTACCCAGTGTTGAATTTAGAGAAGAAAACTTCCTTGTTGTCCTTATTTGTATGCTGGGTTAGTTTTCAATTACACTGACACAAAGACAGCCCTTTGGTGTCTTAACTTAATCCATTTTAGGCACTTTTTTTTAAAATGATATGCAGAATAACTGAATCCCATAATCCACTGTTGTTGTTGTTAAGTGCTGTTAAGTAGGTTCCAACCCACAGCGACTTTGCATAGGGTTTCCAAGGAGCGGCTGGTGAGCTTGAACTTTTGACCTTGTGGTTCAAACCGACTTTGCAGTCCAACACATTAACCCATA